CAGGTAAAGAGTCGCATCATGTCTACAAAGGAAGATAAAGCCTCCCCTTCTTCCATAAGGAAAATCAGAAATTAAGCAAGTAATTCCAACCCATCATTTGATTCAGCTTTAAGAGGCCTCACAATCTTCTAAATGATTATCAGCAGAGTTTTGAGGCCCTTACACAGGTCAAAGCAAGTACAGAAAACCAGGGACTCGGGAGAACAGAACGCCCACTTCACCAAGGGGGGCCGTGAGGACGCAGAGAGAGAGATTTCTCACCCACGGAGCGAAGAGGGGCTGCGGGAGGAAATGGGGAACTGGCAACGTGGGTCTAGCACTTACCATCTCAACACACCAGTCCTAAACACCAGCCCCAGAGACTTCTAGTAGGGGGCCTTTGTACAGCACCTTCATGTCCGTTATCTTATTTGTTCCTCCGCCATCCTGTCAGGACAGTATTAATTTCGAGCCCGCTTTCTAAAAGGTCGGAAAGGCGCAACAACGGAGTCACCCAGAAAGGTAGTGGTTAGACTCATGGCTCTGAATCAGGGTCCATTTGGTCCCAATTCCCATTCCGTCCCAAGGCCTAGGGACAAAGGCCCGTCTCACGCTGTCCCCACCCCTCCAATTTACCTTCAGCAGGCTCTGGAGCGCGGAGAAATTCTCCGCTGTCAACGCGGCCATCTTCCCCAAGTCACCTGACGGCGACACGAGGCGAAGATCGTCACGTGGCTCCGAGGCCGTCGCAGGGCATGCTGGGGGCTGTAGTCCTTCGGGATGGCGACGGCTGCCCGGGTTTGGAGCTGCGAGATGGGGAGGGGCCCATAGGACGCGATCGCCGGATGATGGCTCACTCTGGGGACTATAGGACAGTGGAATTTGGAGGACGCAGGTGTGGGGTGATTTACCCTGATGGAAATTGGCTTGTCTTGTCTACGTACCAAGACAGGAAAAACTGATTTTCCTTGACCTACTGTATAGGTGGGCTGGTTGATTTGGGTGATAGAGGTGATAGTCACACCCTTATAGACCCCCCTCCCGCACTGTACCAGGATTGGTCCGTGCTGCCAATATCAGGTGCAGAGTGATGGTATGTTACTTCTAAAATTATTTATAAAAGACTGCAGGGGCCCCTGGGTGACTCAGTGGGTTGAGCCTCTGCCTTCGGCTCAGGTCATGATCTCGGGGTCCTGGGATCGAACCCGCATTGGACTCTCTGCTCAGCAGGGGGCCTGCTTCCCCACCCGCCCACCCCTGCCTGCCTCTCTGCCTGCCTCTCTGCCTGCTTGTGATTTCTGTCAAATAAATAAATAAAATCTTAAAAAAAAAAAAGACTGAAGTTTTGGGGTATTCTCTTTTGTCTCCTCCTTTTTCTTGAATCCTTGGTCTGGGGAAAGTAAGCTGTCATGTTGTGAGCAGCCCTCCGGAGAGGTCCATGTGGCAAAGAACTGAAGCCTCTGGCCCACAGCCAGTGAGAAACTAAAGCCTGCCAACTACCTCCTTACTGAGTTTAGAAGCAGATTCCGTAGACTTGGCTGAGCTTTGAGATGACAGTGGCCTTGGCCAACACCGACTACAACCTCATGAGACTTTCAGAACCAGAGCCACCCAGCTAAGCTGCTCCTGGATTTCTGGTTTTCAAGAACTGTATGATTGTAAGTGTTTGTTGTTTTAAACCACTAAACTTGATAATTCGTTACACAGCAATAATAACTAATACATGGGGGCGATACAGCATAAAGGACTTAGAATTCCACCTAAGCTTGAATCCCAACTCTACATGTTATTAACTGTATCTTGAGCAAGTTCTCAAACTTCTCTGAGCCTCGGTTTCCACCTCTGTAAAATGAGGTCGATCACACCTACTGCAGAGAGCAGAGCTGAGTGATAGGTGCTGCCCCTGGGGAGGATATCCATCTCTCCTGGCCCTGTGGGCAGGTGTGTTACCAGGGGTTCCTCTGGGCTCCAGTGGGTGATGGGTCGGGTGTGCAACCCTGCACTATGTCATCCCATTTTGGTGGGGCTTTCCAAACTGCCACCACCATGATGCATTTAAAGGTTTGTCTGTGGCCCGGGGAGCTTACAGCAATTTCTAAACCATAAATGTTTTCACAGACAGGAACAGAATAGAGTGGCAGAATTTATTTCCATAATTTGGTCCCACTGCCTGGTTTTCATTAGGCCTCATCTGATTTCTTTCCAATTCTGGGTCTATTAATTTGTGCTTACTTTCATTTATAAATGAAATAAACCTGCCATGTGTCAGGCTCCTTTCTAAGTTTCTCACACTTACTGATTTACTTACTTCCTATAACAATCCTATGTGATACACACACACACATACACAGAGTACTATTATTTTCCCCATTTTACATATGAGGGAATTGAGATACAGAGAAGTTAAATAACTTGTCCAAGGTCACACAGCTAAGTAGTGGCAGAGCCCAGATTCGGACTTGAGCAGTTTGGGCTCCAGAAAGAATCTGTGTTGTTAATTGCCAAGCTATATATATCTCATTGTCTTCCCATAGCTGAAAACTCATACTTCTTCTGTCTGGATGTCTGACTCCCTTCCTAAGGCAAGAACAATCTGAAGGTCTTCCTGGATAATCAGCCCAGTGGTGTGATGAGAGACAAGATAATGAATGGAGAGGGTGCCTTGGAAAAAGACTCAGGTTCAATTCCTGGCTCCTGTGTTCTTCTGGCAAGTTCCTTCATCTCTCTGAACCTCAGTCTCCTCATCTGTAAAATGGAAATAACAATTAAAATACCTTTTGACCATTATGGGGAGTTCCAGGGTGATTTATACCCCAGAGAGAGAGAGAAGGGTCATTTATTTGGTGATTCCATTAGAGTCTGGAAAGGGCAGAGCATTCCTGTGCTACGAGAAAGGGTTGCCAGTAGCATGATCAACCATCTCAGTCCAAGAAGGGGGGATTTCCAGGGACACAATTCTTGCAGTGATAACACTGGGACAGTCCTGGGCAAACCAGGTCATGTGAGCCCTGAGCTACTTGTCCTGTCTTCTCCAGGGGGACTGATGTAAAGGGAGCAGCAGGGAGAGTGAATTTTTAAATAGAAGGTTATTAGGGGCAGCAATCTTAGTTCAAGAGCTCTTGTTGTTGTTGTTGTTACCAACAATTTTATTGAGAGATAATTCACATTTACAATGTACCCATTTAAAGTGTATAATTCAGTGGATTTTGGTACATCCACAGAGTTGTGTAATCATCACCACAAGTCAAGAACATATTCACCACCAAAAAGAAAAACCACGCCCTTTAGCTATCGTCCCCCCTTCTCTTTCCATCACACCCTAGTCCCAGGCCCCCACGAATCTCCTTTCTCTCCTCTTGATTTACCTGTTCCCAACATGGCAGACAAGATGCCCTTGTTTTCATCAATTTCTTCCACTTAGCCTGATGTTTTCAAGGGTCATCCATGCTGCGTATCATGTATTGGGACGTCATTCCTTTTGATGGCTGAGTAATTTCCATTGTATGGCTAGATCACATTTGGTTTATCCATTCATCAGATGATGGATATTTGGGTCATTTCTGCCTTTTGGTTCTCATGAATAATGCTGCCGTGAACACTCTTGAACAAGCTTTTGTGTCAATTGATATTTTCATTTCTCTTGGTGTATATACCCAGGAGCCACAGGGTAACTCTGTGTTTAACTTTCTGAGGACCTGCCAGTCTGTTTCCCAGAGTGGTTGCGCTATTTACCTTCCCATCAGCAATGTCTGAGGGTTCCCATTGCCCCACATCCTCACCAACACTTGTTATTATCTGTCTGTCTGATTATAGCCGTCCTGGTGGGTGTGACGCGGTGTCTGGTTGCTGGGGAGCTTGCTTCAGGGTTGAAATTTGCATAGCCAGCCCATGTTGTCATCAAGGCTACTGACGTTCATTTGAGGTGACTGCTGGAGATTATGGAGGTTTAAGACCTCAGTTTGCCCTTGGGTCCTGCCACCAAGTCTGGGCTGCCTTGTTTATCAGAGGAATACCTACAGGAGCTGGATGAGGCCAAGGGGCCTGCGGTCCTTTAGGGAGAGCCCCCTCATTTCCCCATTTTTCCTTCTCCTCATGCCCATTTCACGGACAGAGATGCGAGTGTCCACGGAGAAAGGGGCTGCTTCACCTTCACCACCTGCTCTAAGTCAAAGACTGGTTTCGAAGTGAACCGATCGGCTCCCTGGGAGACTGCAGGCAAACTGGGGACAGAAGACCTGAAAATGACAGGTGTGCCCTGGCTTGCAAACGCTGTCTCTGTCCAGATCAGGCATGATTCGGGGCTCACTTTGCACGAACAATGTCTTCATTAATGCAGTATTTTAAAATTGGGAAATGTGACCTAAAAATCTAGATTCCTGGCTTTTCTCTAGAAACTGATGGGCCTAGCCATGCTGTTCCCACCGTGCACATTGCAGCAGTTGGCTGGAGCTGAGTCCTGGCTGCCACCCTGGAGACAGGCACAGGCTCTCCAAATCCCCACTGTCCCTACTGCTCTGTGTTACGTCACAGTTGACCCTCCCCACATGTCACCTGCCTTATCCCTGCTGGGGGCTTATTCTTTAGGGCCTAGCTTTTGGCAGGGACCTATGGGGGTAAAGTGAGGCCATAGTCGATGGCCAGGCCAAGTTTGTATTTAAGATCCTGGGTTTCTAGTTATCTGCCTTGCGTCTCACCATGAGCCTAAGTGAGTTTCAGGTGGACATCTAATTTCCCATTCATGCTTCTCCAGTGACATGTACGGCCCAAGCATGGTCCTAAGAGCTTTGCATGTTTAAACTCATTCAGTTCTCACAGTCACCCATGAATATTCCCAGTTTACAAGTGGGAAAACGAAGAGTCAGAAAATGAACTCAAAATCCACGGATAATTAGTGGCAGACCAAGGATTTGAAGGCAGGAGCAAATGAGGTCATTTTGCGAGCTAGCTCATAATAGAGTGCCTGGTCCATGGCAGGGGGCAGGGGGTGGTTCAGTGGAGGCTGCCGCATAATGATTCACCTGGGTTCGCAGCCCCTGCTAACATGCTGCACAGCCAGGCACTTGTCCTGGTCAGGTGACCCTCACTAAAGCCAGGGGTTAGAGTAGATGACATATGTGTTTGGAGAGATGATGTCTGCCATTCTTTCTAGCTCTAACTTGTGGTGAGTCTCTGAAAGGTAGCAAGAAAAGAGGGGAGGGAGAGGAGAGGGGGCATTTGTCATTTCGTGATGTCTGGAAGACGAGTGGATACCCATCTGTTCCCTCCTGAGGGGGTGTCTCCTGTCTCCCCAATTCAGAACCCCATGAGCTGGGAGTCCAGATTTCCTCCCCCAGAGCTGGCTAGCCTGGATGTTGTGATTAGTGGAGTTCAGAGCGCATCGGGCTGGGAGGGCACTGTGGCCTCGTTTCTCACCCTCCCGTCCCCAGGAGTAACACAGAAGTGGCTGGTAAGCCACAGCATTGTCCTCACACACAGGGCCTCTTTGTTTCCCTGATACACAGAGAGGAGGCTGTAACAATGGCCTTGAATGGCACTTTGCTCTCCTTTCTCCAATGTTATACTTGTGTTTTTCAGTTCTGGAATCAGCTAGACAATTATTTCCTGCGGGAGGTATCAGCTTTACATCTTTCCTGTCTGCTTCTCTGGCAGTCCTCAGGCCCCGGGTCGGTGGGAACTGAGGGAGAGCTAGGCCTAAAGACAGCAGAGCCCATCAGAATGTCACCTTCTCGGGAGGCTGGAATGCAGTGGCACCTCACCTCTCCCCTGCAAGATGGCACCTGTCCTGGAGGAAGGAACCAGACCAGGTAACACGGGAGACAGGCTGAGAGCTGCTGGTGGGGAGCAGGGCCTGGAGACGGTGGCTGAGGGTCCAGCCCCAGGAGGATGGGTCTCTGTTTTCTAGATACCCTGCTTGCTGGAGAGGGACTGTCCGCTGGCAAACAAATGAATAAGCAAAAGCAACTGAGGTCAAGTTCAGCAGCCTCCCGATTAGGGACACACTCTGCCTGTCTGACCTTTAGTCAGTGCCTCTGATGTCTGGGTGACAAGAAACTTCAGGGTCTGCGTGGATTTATGGAAATGACTATTCCCTTAATCATTGCTGTCATTATTAAGCTCTTCTTGAACTTCCTGTATTTGTGTGCAGATCACTATATGTATCTTACAGTATTGATAGCAATTACAGCAAACACTTAATGTGTTTTCCATTCTCGCTTGGCAGAGAATGGAAAACAGGCAGTCTGGTCCTAGAGTCTGTGCTTTTCATCACATGCTTCTTACATAATGTTTTGTACAATAAATCAAGGTCACTCCAAGGTTGTACCTTGAGAGGCAGTGATGTATAATGATAACTATGATAACTATGTGTACTGAGCCCTTTGCTCTGTGCCAGGCAATGTTCCAAGGGTTTAACATCTATGTTCTCATTTATTCTGCATAATAACTTTATTGGAAGGATACTTTTATGGTCTCCATTTTATTGAGGAGGCAATTTCAGGGAAGCTAAGTAACTCTCCCAGGGTCACACCGCAGTCACGTGGCAGAGGCAGGCTCTGAGCTCAGTTCTCTCTGGAGTGTTGTGTGACTCTAAAGCCTGACCAGCCCCGTGGCTGGTTTGGAGTTAAGTGGCCTCCTCTGGGTCATGAGATAGAGCGGGTGGCGTGCTGTCCCTGGCTTTGCAGAACATCACTTACGTTCCTGGCTTGGGGAGTGCAGAAGGTCTGAAATGGTTTGTCTGTTGTTCGCTTTTCGCCTTGCTCAATGAAGATGGACCTGCCCGACAGCGGCCAGAAAGAATTTGCAGGGATGATAATTGCTTCACAAATAGCCTGTCTCCTTCTTGGCCAGAGCCTGGGCTGAGCCTCTGCCTGGGCAGGAGGACATATGGTAAATAAACAGGACTCCTGGGAGGGCATTCAGGAAGCCAGCTTTACTTTTGTCTATTACCGCACCTCAATTTTTTCCTACGCCGTCCCCTTCTCTCCTTGTCCCAGGATGGAAATCAGGGCGGACCCATTCTGACTACCTTTCTAGCTCCAAAGCAGTCTCAGCTCAGAACTTCAAAGGCTGTTCCACATGGAGACTCTCTCCCTCCTCCAGAGGGGCCTGGAGCAGAGAAAGGGAGTCTGTGGTTGGTTTCCCGCTTCCCGCCTATGCTGCCAGCTGGCTCACTGAGGCTTCTGACCCCCAGCAGGGGCAGGAGAGGGGGAGAGAGGGACCCAGAAGGGCAGGGAGTTCTTAACTTGGTTAACACTGCGGTTAGCTGGCTGGGTCTGGTAGGTGTTTACACCTGATTCTTTGTCTCTTGGCACAATTTTATAAATACTTCAGAGAACACCCTCCTTCCTCATTTTGGGGGATTTCTAAACTCCCGATCCTTTGAAGCTGGCTGCCTAAGACTCCTTCTTCCAACCCCCAGAGTCTGAGCCGTGCTTACTAGTTTGGTGGGGTTGCCAAAACAAATACCACAGGCTGAGTGTCTTAACAGAGACTAAGGCGTTGGCAGGCTTGGTGTCTTTTTTTTTTTTTTTTTTTTTTTTAGAGACAGCAATAGCAATCAGAGGGAGAGGGAGAAGGAGACACCACTGAGCAGAGAGCCCACTGCATGGCTCGATCCCAGGACCCTGAGATCATGACCTGAGCCAAAAGCAGCTGCTTAACTGACTGAGCCACTCAGGCGCCCAGCAAGCTTGGTATCTTCTGACGCCTCTCTTGTTGGCTTGGGGTTGGCCGTCTTCTCCTTGTTTTTCACACCATCTTCCCTTTGCCTGTGTGCATCCCCAAATCTTGTCTTCTTCTGAAGACACTGGTCAGATTGGATGAAGGTCCACTCTAAAGGCCTCATTTCAACCCAGTCACCTCGTTTAAAGCCCTAACTCCAAATACAGTTACGTTCTGAGAGTAACTGTAGGAGTTACTGGGAGTCAGGGCTTGAATATACGAGTTTGGGGGTGGGGGGAGCACAGTTCAGCGAGGCCAGGTGCCGTCAGCTTCTGTCTGGGGAAGGGTTCCCATTCTCCTGAAGGCCCTCTTCCAGAGGATTTACACGACTACCAGGGTCACTTGTTGTACACCTCCGGCTTATCAGAAATACTCAACTCCTCTTTACCCAGAAAATCCAAAGCCTCCGGGCCCCCTCACTCCTGCTGGGCTCTCCATCTCTCTTTGCCTTAGGCTTCTAAGGTGTGATGCAGACAAGAGTCCTTAGGGATACTCGAGCTACAGGGATGCGGCTCACTCCCAGGAGGTGGGCAGTGGGCAGCTGGGACTGGGAGCACATCTGTTGTTCACTCCAAAATTCCCCCACCGTGCTCCCACTGTTTCCTCATCCAACCCTCCTTTTAGCGCTGGGGATGGTCCAATAAGGGGGAAACTGGTTTCGTTTGCAAGTCCTGCATGACGGCGTCACAGCTCCCTTGGCATGTGTCCCCTGATGGCTTGTGTCTTCAGCACTCGCCGAGATTCAGGTAGCCTTGCCACCCTGCTACCCCTCCGATGCTGCACTTAATTTTCACGAGGAGCCCCATGAGGAAGAGGACGGTGTCCTCGAGCTGAAGGAGGGGAAGCTGGATCTCAGACAGGTTCAGGAACTCCCCCCAAGGTAGATGGTAGAGACCGTGGGGAGCAGGGAGCAGAGATCCGCTTTGACCCACTTCGGTCACTCCCCTTGGACTTCCCCACCAGGCTTCTGAGAGCTTCGGACTGCTGCCCTTTTTTGTTCTGGGCTGGAAAGAAGTTCCTTCTTAGCCGAATGTCACCACGGTAAAAAGCTGGAGTCCCCGCCTAGTCTGAATGCTGCAGTTGGAATGCAGGGGCTGGTGCTGGGGTGGTGGGTCCAGGGTCAGATGGGGCTCTGTGTCCCCAAGGGATCTCTGCTGGAACCTTCTGCCCCTCCCCCAGCGTAACTCCTTCAGCAGAGTAATGGCAGGCGGTGGAACAGCTTTTTTTGCAGAAGCGCACGAAAGCAAAATTGTGTCCTGAAAATCTTATTTGAGGCAGAAGGGGCTGTATGGTCTCACCCTGTATCCCCTAGAATGTACTTGACCTAAAGAAGCTTCTAAATAGAAAGATCTTGATTTTTAAGCTGACTTTTTCTGTTTAGATTTTTAACTGTTTTCTTTAAATATAATAAGTTCGGGCCTACCGTTGCGCATCCTTGCACAATTTCCGAGGGAAGGAAGAATGACAAATGGGTCCGGTGGCTGTTTGGAAGATGTGTGCCGAGGCTATATCCAGGATCTGTCCAGAGGCAGCGCTGGACTGGCCTGGCCTGGCCTGGAGTCTGGGGCCCAGGGAATAGGACGGGGATGCATGGGGCTACCGCTAATTTAGACCCTTAGACCAGGGAAGAAGGAGAGGATGGTATTTCTCTTTATCCACTCAGCAGTCATTTAGTGAATACCTATTACGCTCAGGGCCTTTATAAGTCCTCTGCCAGGAAGCGACCGGTCATGAATGGGCCCTGGGAAAAGTGAGCTCTGAGGCAGGACAGGGCTTGGAGGAGGCAAGACAGGACCACTGGAGAATCAGAAGCGTCGAGATTCCTAGAGCTGGGCAAGGAAGGATGAAGGACCAGACCACAGCCCTGGCCTCCAGAATGGAGAGGGGAATGGGTTAGACAGGAGACAGTGTGGGAGCTATGTGGGGTCAACCGACGGAAGCATCTAGAATGCCCCTCTGGTTTCTGACTTGGCCCATGGAAGTGATGCTATGTCATTACCAAAGCGTGAGTGTGTACGTGTGTAGGGGGGCAGCTGTGCTGGGATTGGAACTGGCTGACGACCCTTTTCTGCAGGAAGAATTGGGGCATAGAGGTTGTTCTTTCTTTTAACAAATAGGTACTGAGGGTTTGCCATGAGCTGAGTGCTGGGGAGAGGGAAACCAAGGGGACACATTCCATTCCTCTCAGAGCTTACAGCCCAAGTGAAGGAGCAATTCAAATGAAATGTAGCAGAAAGACTGTAAAAGAGAATTGGGGACGGGCTGGGGAAATTTGGTTACGGGCCAAGTATTCAGCGACATTAGAGAATGATTCATTTCTAAAAGTGTGATTATGGCATTGTATTTTAGGTGGGAGAGTACTCCTCAGTTTGCTTCCTTTTTTGGAGATGTAAGTTGAAAGAACATGATGTCAGTAATTGACTTGGAAACAAAATGAATACACACACAAAGAGAGAGCAAATACGGTAAAATGTTACCAGTTGCTGGGAGTCTATGAGAGCTCATTGTACCGTTCTACTATTCTTTGGGCTTTGGGTTTTTCCATGTGAAAACTTTCATTATAAAAATTTAAAAATACAAGGTAGCAATTGCCTCGATGGGAAGTAAGGGTGCCGTGGGAACACAAAAGAGGGCACCTAATTGGAATTTGATGAGAGAAGCCTTGCAAAGAAAATAACATCTAAGAGCGGAGAGATGAATGGTCGATGGACAGGGGAATGGGGAAGTGCCTTGGGGAGAATGTAACAGGCAACATGTGTGAATGCTTGGTAGCCTGTTTTGTTAGAGGAACCACATACACACACACAAAAAGACATTTAATGGGAGTGTTGAATGTGAATCAAGGGGTTACCAAGAGGTGAGAAGAGAAGGCGTTGTGAGGTGCGTGGATAAGTTTGGACTTTGTCCTGACGTGAGTGTAAGCAGGGGGGTGTGTTTCAAAAAGAGGAGGCTACTGTGTATTGAGCTGTTGGGTCTGGCAGCCGCTGCTGTAAGGGCTCCGTCTGTAGTAGTCCACTTAACCCTCACTGGCCTCCCAGCACCTAGCGATCAGCACCGCTGTTTTACAGATGAGGCAAACTGAGGC